TCTACGACCCCTAGGCCAGTGGAGGGTAAGCTATACATTCCTGCATGATACAAAATGGAGCTGCATGACCCCCGAAAGGTCATGACAATTTGAGATTAGTGACAACAATACAATTCTCTTAAGATTCAAAAGCTTTACACATTTAATGCGGTTTTGAAAAGAAACTTAGGCTGGTCAAACAATGGACCCATCGCACCCATGCGTCGAGTATTTCTGAGATAGAGCACCACTGCGGACCAACATGAAGATTGGTCAGCCGTGGCGCGGAGAAGCCACGCCCAAACGTTAGACACATGTGAACGATAAGCCCATGTATTTGTTACATTTTAATAAGCCCATCATATACGAATCGCGTGACTGACACGGGTGTTTTGCAATTCAAAGAGATTCGTTGTGCAGATGAGAAATATTCATGCATGCTAAAGCAGACTATGACATAATGTTTGATAGCATGACAATTCGGAGTACAATTATTAAGTGGCAAAGAGGGTTTTGACATGAATTCCCGGTCATCAAAACAATTTCAGTCAACCACAATAAAACAGATGGATCCAAAACAGTTGAACGCTATACAGATAATTATTGATAAAGGGTGAGGAATTCGTTCTTGACAATCCCAGTAATCAAGATCAAAGGTTAATACAAATTTGTCTACGACCCCGAGGCCAGTGGAGGGTAAGCTATACATTCCTGCATGATACAAAATGGAGCTGCATGACCCCCGAAAGGTCATGACAATTTGAGATTAGTGACAATACAATTCTCTTAAGATTCAAAAGCTTAACACATTTAATGCGGTTTTGAAAAGAAAGTTAGGCTGGTCAAACAATGGACCCATCGCACCCATGCGTCGAGTATTTCTGAGATAGAGCACCACTGCGGACCAACATGAAGATTGGTCAGCCGTGGCGCGGAGAAGCCACGCCCAAACGTTAGACACATGTGAACGATAAGCCCATGTATTTGTTACATTTTAATAAGCCCATCATATACGAATCGCGTGACTGACACGGGTGTTTTGCAAAACTAAGAGATTCGTTGTGCAGACGAAAAATATTATTTCGTGCATGCTAAAGCAGACCATGACATAATGCTTGATAGCAATGACAATTCGGAGTACAATTATTAAGTGGCAAAGAGGGTTTTGACATGAATTCCCGGTCATCAAAACAAGTTCAGTCAACTACAATAAAACAGATGGACCCAAAACAATTGAATGCTATACAGATAATAATTATTGACCCAGAGTTAGGAGTTCGTTCTTGACAAACCCAGTAATCAAGATCAAAGGTTGATAAAAAAAAAACATTAAAAAAAACTTGTCTCCAGCCCCCAGCCCAGTGGAGGGTATGCAATAAATTCCTGTATGATTTAAAAAAAAAAAAAAAAAAAAATGTTACCGTATGACTCCTGAAAGGTATACAATCATGACAATTTAGTATTCGTGACAACGTACAATTCTTCCAGGGTTCGACTGCTTTACGTATTTGGACAATCGAATTTTCCAAAATTTTCCAGAATTTTCCAGTCACAAAAAAGTAAAACACGCACACAAAAAACATCCTTTCTTTTTCCTTTTTTAAATGCAGATTTGAAATGAAGGTTAGGCTGCTCAATTAATGAACCCGTCGCTCAAAGCGTCAATTATCTTTGTGATAGGGCGTCACAGCGGACCGATGTGAGGATCGGTCAGCCGTGGCGCGGAAAAGCCGCGCCCTGTTCCAACGTAACACGCACTTGAACGACGAGCCCAAATATTTGATACAGTTTGATAAGCGTTTCATACAAATATAGGCTTTGTGATTGATACAGGTGACCCTGCAAAACAAAGATTTTCTTTAAACCTTTCTGTCGGCATGCAAATTTAACCATAATTGGGTGACATTAATGGTCTAGTATGCAATGATTCCCATGGTCGGTTACCCGTTCAGATACATGTATTTAAGTCCAAGGGTTTATATATTGCTTTAACGACTATATTCAAGGTTAATGTTGCTGTAAATGGAACAATCTAACGTGGAAATATGCTGTAAAAGAGAGGGGTTAACACGAATCAAAATCCTGTTACAAAAAGCTTCCGTAATTCAAAGCAAGATGTACTTTGACACAAATACTTGCCCATAACCCAACGGGGGTGGGGGTGGGGGTGGGGAGGGGTTGGAAAATATGTAACTTCTAACCTGCGAATTAAGTGACGTCCAAGGGTCCATGGTTAGATGGTAGCTTTATCGGCCATGTACTACTCTACGGTCTATAGGGTGGTCTATACCCCATGAGAAAAAAGGTGGGCGGGGCCAAAAATATACAGAGCTACATGTACATTCTTAGTTATAAATATATCCTGCGGTGGACTGCGAATTGAATGATGTTTATAATCAGGTTTTACCACTGGAAATTGCAGTAATAATATAATGTAATACCTCCAACATTTGGTAAAGAGTTTGGAGTTGGCAAATGCTTGGGTTTAAACTTTCCATTCATCAAGTACAGCGATGGAAAATACATGCCTCCAACCTAACGGGTGTACTTTTCATTGATCTCTAGGGTTTTAACAGTATTATTTTTTTTTTCTTTCTTTCTTTCTTTTTCCCCTTTTTTTCTTCACACGTTACATGAAATGGCTTCCTGTAAATATATCGACCAAATTCATGGTTTTTGTAACAAAAAATATGAAAAAAGGAAGCACTTTAGTTTTATCTTAGAGCATAAGCAAAAATCAGAGTCCTGATTACAAAATTGCTTCAGAAATTCAAAATTCAAAACAAAGATTTACTTTTCATGTATTATTGTTATTTCTAAGCAAGGCATTTGAAACTCGATGCAAGCAATGTACAGTGATATTAAAGTGACATAGAATATAATTATAAGTATGATTCATAAACTTCTCGTTTACTTTACTCACTTATATCAAATTTCGTTTTTCGGACCTCAAATTAAAAGATGAATAATTGTTTGTGTCACCTGGTAAAACGTTGATTTTGCTCATTCTCTGTAGGGATTCCATGTGGTAGAACCTTTCTCCTTCCATTGGAGGACGATTTTAGCACCTTGCAACTTTATTCTCGTAGATTGGTTTTTCTCCTTTCGCAACTTGTAACCAATTTCAGCAAGATGGCCGCGATGAGCCTTCAGGGTGGGAGGGAGGTCCGTCCTGACCGTTATGCGAGGGGCAGGCGGTGGTGCATGTCGCATTTCCGCTGCGTTTCCTAGTTGCTGCGATGTTTCCTTCGGGCGTCTTAGGTTCTCAAAAGAAGAAAGAATGAGATCTCTGTCTGGCATCTTGACGAATTTAGCGATTATCGGAGCGGGTCGGGAACGGGCTGGGGCACCGGCGTCTGGGGTCCTAGGTTGGTTGCGATAGGGTAGTCTGTGGGCGTTGATCATTTGGATCTGTTTGGCGGTTTCCTCATTTATTCCAAGATGGATGAAAACTTTACAAAGCGTGCGATAGATATCCTCGTTTGGTTCGCTTTCAACCCCGTAGAATAGTAGATTTGGTTTTCTGTTGTAGATTTCCATCAGAAGAAGTTTTTCTTTTAGATTAGATATCTCCTCTTGAAGGGGCGCGATGCTAGCTGGTATGGAATTTTCTACTTCAGATATTTTGGCAGAGTTAAATTCAACTGAAGATTCCACATCTGTTAGGCGACGATGAAATGATAGTAGCTCGGTATTGATATTATCAAGTTTAGATAATATTTTATCTGAAAAGTCTGCAATGTCTCGTTGTAAAACCGCATTAGAGGGATCCGGGGTGGTAGGCGAACGAACTTTGTCAGTCGAGGTAGGCGAACGAACTTTGTCAGTCGGGGGAGCCGATGGGGCCGGCTGCTTACTTGCTGTTTGTCGGGTAGTGGGCCTCGGGCCATGGGATGCCATAATTTGCGTTGTGTAACGTGTAATCTTAATGGGTGGCAGGAGCTCCGCTCAAACCGTCCGTTCAGCTCGAAGTCATGTGGCCAAAAAGTAATAGGAATCAGTAGGTAGAAACCAAGGGTGTCGATTTGTATCCGTGGTTGGGGGGGGGGGGGGGGGGGGGGGGGGGGGGGATGATAGGTGCAAAAAAAAAATCGGCAATTGATCAAAGCAACCAAGAGGTAGAAGCGTGTGGCAGGTTGCACCCCCTCCCCAAGCGCGTAGCCAGGATTTCATTTAGGGGTAGGGGTATAGTGAGCACGCGAAGCGTGCAAACCGGGCTCCCTAGGGGGTTGGGTGCAGGGAGGGGGAGTTTCCCCCTCCCCGCGTAGCGCGGACGCTCAGACGTTATATTAGATTATTAAAGAAAGAATACGATTCGACGTACCATCTCGACTCTTAATCATTAATGTTTTAATCAAGTTCCCCTTCCCCCGCGCATAGCGCGGAAGCTCTGACGTTTCAATAGATTATTAAAGAAAGAAGACGATTCGATGTACCATTCTCGAATCTTAATCCTTGTCTGAATTCAGTTCCCCCCCCCTCCCGCGTGAAGCGCGGAAGCTATGACATTTCATTAAATTATTAGAGAAGAAGACGATTCGATGTACCATTCCCGACGCTTAAGTGTGTCTTTATACTACTACAACTACTAATACTACTACTACTACTATTACTCAGGCGCGGATCCATGGGGGGGGGGGGCCGACGGGCCCGCCCGCCCCCCCCCCCCCTCCCTGGCCTCTTTTTAAAATAATTTTAAAAAAAAAGTTTTTAATGTACAATTTTTTAATACGTGCATATCATACAACCCCCCCCCCCCCACTGAGCGAGAAATTGGTCGGCGCTATTTTTAAATTTTAGGCCCCCCCCCCTATCGGCAAATCCTGGATCCGCCACTGCTACTACTAGTACTACTACTACTACTACTACTACTACTAATACTACTGCCACTACTCCACCTACTAATATTACAACTTTATACTACTAAATGCTGGTGTTACTACTTCTACGACTACAACTACTACTACCACTTTCAATACTGATAACCAGCACACGTATTTGTTGATTCCTATACATGACTGCTACTCGTTTGGGATCAAATCATTCGTCCTTAGATTAATGGTCAGATTCTTGGTCAATTCATCCCAGAAATATTCTTGTCCTCTCACGTTCTCAGTCCAGTGAATATAGGGTCTACCATCACTGAGGTACAACCTCGCCAAGAATGGCATCTCGTCACCTGGGATGTCTTCGAGGAAAACCACGACAACAAATTCAGTCAGAGTGTCACTCACGTGGTCCATGGCCGTACGGAACTTGAGTATAAACCAGTGGTCGTGCACAGCAGCTCTGCTAAGCAATATGATGGTCTTGTAACTATGGCTCACCACGTAATCGACGGAATCTAAGTAATGCATACCCAACACAAGGTCTTGGTCCCCATAAACGTTCCTTTGAAACTGTGGAAGCCTTTCTTCGAGAGCCGGTCGGAGCTGTTCGAAAATCCATTCTTCGTCATCGTCGTAGAAAATGATGTTCACGTCAAACTCGTAGTCATTGTGGTCTCGAGCGTCTCGCATCTCGTTATAGCCCAGCGCGGCCAGTTTCAAGAGAAAGAGTTTGTACCTCAACTGCCATCGGTAGTGATACAACAGCACGCTGATGACAATCAAGATAATGGAGGCGAGGGGAATCAGAGAGAATAGACCATAGTTCATTATACAGAGTTCATTTGAATCAAAATCAAGCAGGGGTTTCTCACGGAGAGGCCACATAGATACTGACGAACAGATAGTTTTGTCCTTGTTTTTCAGGCTTATAGGTTCATTTAACCAATCAATAAGCCACTTTAGATCACAGTTACAATCAATTAAGTTCATTGATAGATCAAGCGAAGAAAGGGAGGAAAAGATCGGCTTAAAAGTGCTTTGATTAAAGCGCGTTAATCTGTTGTTGGCCAAGGAAAGATTTGTGAGTTTACAGTTGTTTGAGAACATTAGCTCCTCCAAGTATTCGAGACGGTTTCCTTCAAAGTTGAAACTTTTTATTTGAACCAACCCCGACAATACATCATCATGAATATGCTGGATGTTGTTTCCTTTCAAACTCAATTTCTGAAGCGATTCCAACCCCGAAAAGATAAGAGAATGTAGATTTGTAATATCGCAGTAGTCTAGATTTAGCTCTTGTAAAACAGAGAGATGCCGGAATATACCTGAATATAAAATACCCCCGAAGTTGTTACTACTTAAATCTAAATAATTAAGATCCAATAATCCGTCGAAAAGTGACGCGTTTCTTAATTTATTCCATAAGTTCAATGTGTCAAGCCGAGAGTCTTTTATGTCTAATTTAACAAGGGATTGTAAATGTTGAAACGATTCTCCTGGGTTCAAATAGCTAGGAAACACGTTTGCATTAACAGAGTTTAGGGACAGAGATCTTAATAATGGGGTGTACAATTCCAGAACAGTTAAATGACTTCCGGACAAATCAATGCTTTGAATATTGTCAAGTTCCGAAAAGGCCGTCAGCTCAAAGGTAGAAAGGAGTTTGTTCGAGCTCATGTCTAAGAAAGTTAAACTACCTAAACCGTGAAATACAGATGAAGATATTTTTTGAAACAGATTACCGGATAAGTCGAACTCCGACAATTCCACTGTCCAAGTCTGATTGTGAGGATTTATTTGTCTTACTCTGTTGTTGTTGATTGCCAGTACCTTTAACGCATTCATGCCGTCGAAAAAGTCTGGATTAATTTCATGTATGGCGAGTTTGTTATGACTGAAACTGAATTCTCTGACTTTTGTCAAATTTGAGAAGATTAAAGAGTGGAGGCTCTTCAGTTTGTTGCTGTAGAAGACCAGAACAGAGAGAGAAGAATCGCGCAGAGGATCAAAGAAACCTTTAGGAAACGCACCAACAGAACCATACCATATTGTAAGCTGTTCGATGTCTGATTTTGATATTCCGAGGATGATGTTCGCCAACACCTCGTCACTCAATTGGCGACCACCTAGCATCAAGGAGTGAACATGTAGTGATGCGATCACATCAGGGTCTACTGATTGGATATGGTTATTTCTAAGATCTAGAGTATCAGTGCGGCACACAAAGGTGAAGTCTCTCACCGTAATGTGTTTTAGTCGATTAACATCAATGTCTACACTGTCGACCATGCCACAAGAACTTACATTGATAACGGAGAGCTGGTTGAATGTCAAATGTACAGCATCTAAATGTGGACTCCATTTTAGAATGTCATTGGGGAGCGATGTTAAGTTTGATGACGATAAATCAAGAAATAAAAGTTGTGAAGACATCATAAAGACGCCTGTTGCTGGAAGCACAATACGCGGGTTAAAGGATAAAGACAGGTGCATTAAGCCCGTGAGGGGGTAAAAAGCGGCAGATTCTATCGCTCTTATATCGTTAGAAGAAATGTCCAAGTAGTTGATCAGAGGGTATACTTCAAACGAGGAGTTCAAGAGTTTGGTGATATTGTTCACAGACAAGTCAAGCACCTCAGTATCCTCAGAAAGATTCTGGGGAACCGTGTCCAGGTCTTTTTTGCGACAAGAAGCTTTTTTTAGTTCAAGGTTCTGATCGCATCCATTGAAAGATTTGCCCATGTCCAGTGTTAAGGATGTCATCGCTGAATCTCCATCGTGTCGATGTAAAGATTGAAAGGACGAGCTGACGAGGAGACAAGCGACGAGCAATTGGTACAAGATTAAGCAGTTTGCCATGACTTCAAAATATGACCTCCGAAAAGGGGAAAGGTACACCTAAGTTTGTCGGATTATAATATATCGCTCTTAAATATATGCTAACACAAGCTCATAGAAGTGTCGTAAGTGAACTTCCAACGAAGGAAAATGTAGACGTTGTGTATGATTTCTACTTCATCATTCGATTTTATTGTGTCATCAGACGAAACCAAAACAAAGCCCTGCAAGAAACAGAGTATCAATCAATTAATACTCCCATCATTTGGACGAGCGAATTACTACCTGCTTTAAGTAATTCCTGATGCTTTCTATCTTCTTAAGTTCTTGCTTATATGGATTCATGTGTAATCCTATAATATAATTTACCTGTGCAGATATGCTTTAGTGTTAGGACCAAGGAGTTTTAAGAGATGGAGTCCTATCTTGCTCATTCCCTTTGTACCATCTTCGATGCCGCCAGGAGAAGTATGCCAGGCATAATGTGCTTAACTGGATCTTGCTTGCAGATACGTAGACAAAAGATTCATGCCTAGCTGCAAACTAACGGGCTACTTTCAAAGGGATATATGCTTTTGTAATGATAATTACTTTTCGCTACCACTCGTCTGATAATACGAGCAGTACACAGTGCTTGCCTTTAGGAGGCAAGCGAAAGAAAATGGAGCAAAATTTCCTGAAATATTAATCAAAGTTACTCGACCGGGTATGTGTGGGCACTAATCTGACATATAACATCGTAAAGGACTGTACATGAACAAATTTCTTTTTTTTTAACGTTATAACAAAACATCGATAATTCTCGGTTTCGTTTATCCAAATATGTTTCATTTATCAATTATAATTGTGATTAAGTTAAGTGCGTCCCAGGAAAAATGAAACCGAGAATTATCGATGTTTTGTTATAACTTAATCACAATTATAATTAATAAATGACACAAATCTGTAAATCTGAGATCCACTTCTTTCACTTGATGCAACTCATATAATGCACATTTCACGCATGAGCGACTAAAATGAATTTGAAATGAGGAAACCAAAAAGTCATTTGGCGGACGGTTTCAAGAAGAGAATCACATTTCTAGAAAGTTGAGTTTCTGCCTTTTCATATGACACCTCAATCAGGAGTGAGCTAGGAATAACAAAGTTCTGTTTGTTTTAAGTAGTGCTTGCATTTCCATTATTTGATTAAACGAGTTCGTTTTCACTAGCTGTCTGCCGTAGCAACAAACAGAGTTGACAAAAGACTTAACTCCGTTTCGTTGACAATCAGCCGTAGACGAAAGACGTCATGCATGGCTGATTGTCAACGAAACGGAGTTAAGTCTGTTGTCAATTTTGCTTGTTGCTACTGCAGGCAGCCAGTGAAAACGAATTCGTTTGATAAAATTATGGAAATGCAAGCACTACTTTAAACAAACAGAACTTTGACATTCCTTGCTCATTTTTCCTAATTTAGATGTCATATGAAAGGGCAGAAACTCAAATTTCTAGAAATGTGATTTTCTCTTTGAAATTCGGATACCGTCCGCCAAATGACTTTTTGATTTCCTCTCTTCAAATTAATTTTAATCACTCATGAAATATGCATCATATGAGTTGCATCAAATGAAAGAGGAGGATCTAAGCTTTCCAAATATGTGTCATTTATTAATTATAAATGTGACTAAGTCATGATAAATCATCGATAATTCTCGATTTCGTTTTTTCTGGGACGCACTGTATGGAGGGAGAGATAGATAGATGGAGAGAGAGAGAGAGGGAGAGAGAGAGAGAGAGACAGAGACAGACAGAGACACAGAGAGAGAAGACAGTGGAGAGGGAGAGAGAGAGAGAGAGAGAGTAGACGGTGGAGAGGGAGAGAGAGAGAGAGAGAGAGATAGTAGAGATGTGGAGAGAGAGAGAGAGATAGTAGAGATGTGGAGAGAGATAGAGAGAGAGAGATGATGGAGAGGGAGAGAGTGAGAGAGAGATGATGAGGAGATGGAGAGAGATGGTGGAGAGGGAGAGAGAGACAAAGAGAGAGAAAAGGAGGGGGTGAAAAGGGATAACAATTCTATACGAATTATTTAGAGATCATTATACAGAATGTTATATACTACACAGTAATTTTCAATCCATGAGCGATTTACGTATGAAATTACATAGCATAAGATGTTATCTTCGACAATTAAGATTCAAAGGCTATTTAGACTTGATTTTCTGATGACTACCATCGCAAATGATTACCTACATGAATTTGTTCCTTCTTTGGTGAATTTAAGTTTGGAGCCTTGTCCTTAAGTTGATGAGAGACAAAAAACCAATGCAATGACAGCAAATCAAATTTTGCATAAATTCCATTCAAATTATTATCATTATCATTCTTTTTTTCTTCAAAGAATTCGACTTGCTCTTATACTTTTGCTATCAAAACTGGTTGTACAGATTTTGGTTCATATCACCCCTTCATACATTTGCGAGTTATCATCAAGTTTCCACATCCATCAGGTAGCACAAAACTTCCTTGACAAAAAAAGCAGTCCCTGATTATAATTTTGTTTATTGTTCACCATAATCGAATTGCGTTAGTGACCCATGACGTCAAACGTTCAAAATCATGAATACATTTTAAATTTTAAGAAAAAAAAAAAAAATCAGTCTATAATTTGGGGCACTTCATAGTTATGCCTGCATATGTATATTAGTGAATTCAGAACCTTCAAGATAACCGTCAAGGGTGATAGGAACTCTAATCTATCCCTTGAAATTTTCTCTACCCCTGGTTTATTTCATTGACAATAAATATTCTCTCTCTCTCTCTCTCTCTCTCTCTCTCTCTCTCTCTCTCACACACACACACACACACACACACATATATATTTCTCCTACGGACAATTTCATAGAACAAAGGGTTCTCTTGAGAACCACTTTTATGCTTATGCATGGGGTACAGTACGTAGGGGCCCATCGTAGGGCCCCTGCAGGGGCAGTCTTAGCCAGGGTTTTGGTTTTAGTTTTCAGTTTTTTTAGCAATTAAAAAACGAACCTTCAAGATGGCCATCATGAGCAATGAAAATTGTTATTCTCTCCTTGTGATTCACACAGCCCCTATTATTTCAATTAAGCCTCTATTTTTCTTCTTCTCCTTTACCTTCTTTTCTCTTTCTCGTCTCTTTTCCACATGGCTCTCTTTTCCCCCTTTATTTTAAAGCTGCCAGGGGGGGGGGGGGGGGGGCTGGCCCCCTGGATCCGCCGATGGTACATCTTTATTATTATTGTTATAATTATTATAATTATTATCATCATCATCAAATTCTGTTCTGATTATCCATTAAACATGTAAAGCATACATATATCATTTATCATTCAATTTTACAGAAAATTGAATTAAACTGGAGGAAGACACTTAATGTAAACAAATTCATTCAGGGTAAAAACAAAATTTTGCTCAAAGAAATTTATTTTTAAGGAGGTAATATAGCCAGATATAAGCAAATATCTACACAGAAATACATATAAAGAACTATCAAAACATACATTTACATAAAATACCATTACAATTAATACATTGCATACTAACAAGCATTTATTTCTTTCTTAGCTGTCAGGTAAAATAACACTATGAATATGACAGACAAAGAAAGCGGACAAAATATACAGTTTCTCAGGTAGACAAAGGAACATCCCTACACTGCTATTATGTAAAAAGGTGAATATGCATGTGACACCTGTTCTACACATTTTTTACATAATAGCAGTGAAGGGATGTTCCTTTGTCTACCTGAGGAACTGTATATTTTGTCTGCTTTCTTTGTCAGTCATATTCATAGTGTAACCTACATTATCGCATAGACTTGTATATAATTTGCACATGATTTTGTTAACAATAAATGCATATTATATCATTAAATTATAGTGCTCTCGATCACCCACTTTCTTCCTTCTGTATCCATTAAAGGAGTTGATTGACTCCCATTAAAGAGGGAGTGGGAGCACTGTGGTTTATTGGTGGAGGCTTGTGACTCTCACATGACAGGTCCCAGGTTCAATTCCCTGCTTGGTGCTTTATACATACTTGGACAAGGTGTGTGAATAATTTTGCCCATATGTTCGCCTCTCGAAACAGGTGTAAATGGGTACCTGGCAATGGTGGGGTGGAAGTAGTTGCAGGGCCCGTAGAATCAGAAGACTGAGCAGTATTAATACTCAGTGATGTGGCTACCTTGGCTTTTAATAAGACTACATTAAAGACCAGGGATGTTTCACAAAGATCCTAAGTTGAACTTATCTCTCAGTTGGACTTAACAATTATGGAAAGCTGTTAGCATCTTAGAAAATATTTTGTAAAACTTTTTTAAAAGGCACAAATGTTTTCAAGGAAATTTCATGTTCTTGATGTGGAATTTATGAAAAGTCTATATTACTTGAATTTGTGCTTTTGAGTATATATTATTTTAAGACTTCAAATGGCTCTCAATAATGTTAAGTCAAACTTAGAGTTCAACTTAGGATCTTTGTGAAACAACCCCAGGGTACTTAATCACAATAGAAACATGTACAATACATGTACCTCATTAATAATGCCATTTAAACTTGTTTTTAAATCATGCTAATCACTATTAGTTTTACACAATTATAAACCAGACATAAAAAATGAACCAATCATAAAAATAATCTACCAGACACACAAATAAAGCTATAAAACACTAACAACTTTTAAACTCTATAATTACATTGTCCATCGAGAGTGTATGATTAATGAAAAAAATTGTTCTATGTCATAAACTGATGTCAGAAGAAATCCACTTCAAAGAGTGTATGATTAATACAAACAAATTGTTTCTATGTCATAAACTGATGTCAGAAGAAATCCACTTCAAAGAGTGTATGATTAATACAAACAAATTGTTTCTATGTCATAAACTGATGTCAGAAGAAGATATCCACTTCAAAGAGTGTATGACTAATACAAACAAATTGTTTCTATGTCATAAACTGATTTCAAAATATATCCAGTTCAAAGGTCTTTAAAAATCATATTAATTTCATAGTAGGAACTACATTAGATATCCTAAAAGTAACATCTCATAATACTTGTAGATATATAGTATTTATAATAGGTTACAAGATAGGAAGACATTCATCTGATATCAACCATTAATACTAAATGCACCTTTAAAATTGTAATGCTTCTTATAATGATACTGACATTAATATTGACCTTCATATAGATTATACTCATTTATTATGACATAACATGTTTATACAATAATAAAATGCTTTAGAAATAAGTACATTCACAATGTTCTTTTAGCTAGACTTCTAATTGGGGAGACTAGTTAAGTCTAAAATCATATTGCACTAAACTGAAAGAGTTTTAATAGAAAAGAAAGAAGTGTAACAAATACATGCAGTACACATTTCTGACAGTGCCATTCTTGGCATTACGTGCTTATTTCTCTACTTACATTGATATTTTATACCCGTTTTATTAAAAAATAATGAATGTGTTGAGGCTCTTATATTAGCACATTGCACTTGGTTAATCTTGATTATCTGATTGTGACTTTTTAAACCTGCGTGTAGTGCATATATTAATAATGCACTCGCAAACATGAATTACCGGTATTTGAATTATATGACATGGAACACAAATCATATTACCCTTTGAAAGCATAAACTTGACTTTCACTATGCATTGTCCCAATTAATCATCATGTAGAATACTTGAAATACTGAACAAACAGAAGATTAATACAGTAAAAAGTGCTTTAATTAGCGACCACCTGTATAGAAAGACCACCTGCCTAAAAAGATTACTTTTCCTTCTGTTTCCCCTCATCAGCATTTGCCACTGACAAATGTACTGAAGGAACCTGTAGTCCTGTACTTAAAGATCACCTGCCTATAAAGACCACTTTCTAGTCTCCTTTGAGTGGTATTTAAATACAGGTTCCACTGTATCACGGAAGAGGTTCATCTACTTAGTGATGGAATATTCATTCTTGGGGAAATCATTCTTTTCTTTACAACCAGTAAGTAATTACCCGTCTTCAAAGACTACATTGTAAAAGGATACATTATTTCAAAAATGTATATACAGTCCTGATATTGTAATACCAAAATTGAAACACAGTATTCTTCATGTAAACATACATTTTAAATGAATAACTCACAGATGATAAAGGTTTATGTTTTTAAAAATAAGAAATTTCCTGGTTTCAGATCCATACAGCACTTCAAGATAAATCTCAATGACTGAAATCCATTACCTCTATTAACAGTATTGCTCATATAATCCTTCATTTAGATTTGGTCACACTTATTTGAAAATTTGTTATTAAGATTTGGTCAAGCAAGATTGGAATCAGGTACACTATAGTTTTTGGTCAAATTTGGTCGCCTCAGTATCTCTAATTCTCTTGCATCCTCCACATCCCCTTCTCTCTGCCCCCCCCCCCCTCTCTCTCTCTCTCTCTCTCTCTCACACTTCATACTCTCGGATTAAAATCAACATTAATTGAATTCCTTATAGTTTTCCTACTATATGATTCAAATAAATTGGCAGTGTACGTGCTACATGTTCTGTGATTTTCATAACATTGATATGTATCACTTTTGCAAAAATGATGATAGAGATCTATAATTAAACTTTTTTGGTCACAATTATTAAATAATTTGTTTTCAAGATTTGGTCAAGCAAGATTGGAATCAGTTACACTAAAGTTTTTGGTCAAATTTGGTCGCCTCAGTATCTCTAATTCTCTTGCATCCTCCACATCCCATCCCATTCTCTCTCTCTCTCTCTATCTCTCTCACTTCATACTCTCAGATTAAAATCAACATTAATTGAATTCCTTATAACATAGTTTTCTTGCCATATAATTCAAATAACTTGGCAGTGTGCTACATGATCTGAGATTTTTATAACATTTGATATGTGTCACTTTTGCATAAATGATGATAAAGATCTATAATAAAACTATTTCAGTCACGTTAAATATACCTACACCCATTTCCAATATACGATGGAATGAAAATCCATGCGAGATACAATCTAGGATTCAATTGAATAAAATTGATATAAAATGGAAGTCTAATTTGATCAAAAATGAGGTAATTTCAGTTTTATTTCATCTAGGCACCTCTAACTGGCTCAGACCTGTATATGTTTTGGCTCTTCTTTCTTATCCCCCTCCTCCCTCCTGATCCACTTTCCCCTCCCCCTTCTCTTTCCCCTCATCCTCAAGCTGCTCCTCCTCTTCTTCATCCTCTTTCTCCCTCTGAAATTCATTGAGATCCACTTTTATGTATACCGGTAATACATTATCAATAAAAATAGTATGAAAAACAACAATTTCATCCTAATTGATTTATAATTTCCAGCACTTGTAAATGAAGAAGGCAAGCTAGTCAGCTAACCGAGATCAGTGCTCTGCCTGAAAATCCCTCTTCTCCTCATTTTGTCATTCATTTCTATTTGTTCTATGTTATACAGCAAGTGTTGTGTAGTGAGTGCCCCTCCTGCACACCTTTAAGTCATCATGTCTGTTTACATGATAGAGCATGGTTTTGAGGCTCCTTCCTCAGGCATTGGTACAGCAACCAGACACTATGTAAAGACAATATAGCAGTGATTATTTATAAATTAGAGATCTATGTATTTAAGAATGTATCTGATTGCATTTTCACTCTCCATCACTGGAAGTGTTGGTGAATATACATACATTGTACATACTTTTAAGCTTTCCCAATGAAAAAGAACACATCAATACAGATTATATCTCACAAAATTGAATATTCTTCAGAAGATATCTGCCTTAATTCATATACAGAGGAAGAACACAAACAGACCTTTACGAGCATGGCATAATAGAAAGTATTATCAAACTCATTAGGAAATGCCTAACAGAAACTCAAGAATCTTCAGGAATTTCTCTTCGTCATAATGGTCCTAAAGTTTGGAACACATTGCCACATTCTTTACAACCAATTAAGTTCAACAAATCGTTTAAACGTAAACTTAGCAGCACTTCTTGTCATTGTATACCTTTACTCTTCTCCAGCAGACTGAGCTTTTTATCATTAATTATATTGTGACGCGCTCAGGGTGCGCCCATTCATCAAGCCCCTGTGGCTTTTACGGATGCACCTTTTTCCATCCTATACTTTTTGTAGATTTAATCATGATTTCTTTTTCTTTTTTTCTTTCTTTTTTCAACGTATATATTTATTTTTCTTTGCCTATGTTTTACAACAATGTACATGTATAAGGTAATTTTTACTGTGATTGGAATCAAATAAAGTTTAATTCAACTCAATGATATTTCTTATAACAAGTTCTTGACTTACCTGATCTAACGATGGTGCAGTTTTCTGTGTGAGTGTCGCAAGCTCTTTCTGAAGTACCACAGTGTTGACAAGAGCTGGTCGCACACGAGGTGGATCCTCTACAATGATTGTCCTGTGGTAGAGTACAACGTACAATCAAAAATATGTAAAATTGGTGTTACATCACTGATATGTACACAACCCTTCTCCAGAAATATGAAACCAAATATCTTCACTCAGACATACAATGTAGATAAGGACACTGCAGGTAAAATACTTCAGAATTCATCTTAACCCATCAACTATTAAATTCTATCATTCCCATAGGCTTTAATGCAGGAGCCACCCAGTTCCAGTAGGCAATGGGTTAAGATACACCTTTCCTTAAGAGCAGGAGGGATGATAACCTGTTCGCTTTTACAAAGAGTCTTTTTTCTCTCTTGCAGACAATTCCATCTAACTCTACATACAAATCAAGTTCAAGGACAACACAATTGCTCTCAATCTGCCCTGTAAAATCATTTTAGGATTTCTTTCAAAAGAGCTAATTCAAGACTGAACAGAGTCATCATCTTCATTCTTCTACCAAACTTTCATCTAGTTTTCATTCATAGAAACACATATAATTCTTCAATGTAGTTGAAAAGAACTAGAAGAGACATTTACTTCACATCCATTGAAAAGCAAAACAACTTATGATCAGGAATTAGTTTTATGACATGTCCAAAAGATACTGACCCTATATAGTTTCGATGTCTATGGTTTATCTTTATCAGATAAGTACTGGCAACTTGAAGTAAGTTGCCAGTTTTTCAATCGTAAAACTAATTCCTAATGATGTAAGTCATTATCATACTAGTGAAATTGTAAAACATTAGAAACGCAATGTGCTTTTAAAGAACTACCATCCTTCAAATCTACTAACCTTCTAGCTTTGATGGAAGAAATCACAACCTGAGCAACCTCTGTCATCGGATGCAATTCATCTGGAGAGATCGCTGGCAGCTTCTTCTTCACTAGAGAATGGCGGAAGTTGTCGATCTCTGCGGGTGACCTGATGTTCTGCACTCCCAAGAGGTCGGCCCACATGGCATCCCAGGAGTTCACTGGATATCCCATCAGCTGGAAGTAGGTGGGCCGCTTGGGCAGGAGGGCCACCTGGACCGGCACCAGGAGAGGGGCTTCCTCAGGGCTCACACGCTGCCTCCAGAGACCCATGTGGAACTCCTCGACATGCTGAGGAGACTCGATGTAGTTCGGCGAGAGGAGAGCGATGATGCTGTCCGCTGCCTCCAGGCTGTCCAGTCGCGCCTGGTCTGTCTTGAACTCGGACTTGAGGACAAGATGAGGGGCATAGGCGCTGATGAGTTGCTTGAGGAAGTAGACGAACTTGACGTCGGTCTGGTGGTAGCTGAAGACTACAGTGGCTGACTTGAAAGTCTTCTCAGACTGTGTCGCACTTCCGCCATCTTTATGTGGGCATTCAGGTTCAGAAGTTGGCTTCTCCTCTCCATCTTTTGGTTCTTCCTTCTCTCCTTCTTTCGTCTTCACTTTCTGATCTTCAGTTATCTGTCCAACATCCTCTTTACCATCTGTACCCACTTCACCTGATTTATCTTCTTTCGCTTCATCTTCCTTTCCGGTCTCCGTCTGTACTTCCGCAACACCACTATCACCTTTGACATCACTTCCTGCCCCCTCTGACCCTTCCTTCATCTCCTTCTCTCCTTCTTTGGCTTCTTCTGCTCCATTCTGATCCTTTCCTGTGGTTTCAGCCTTACCTTCTGCATCCTCTAACTTTTCAAATGTGGGTGGAAAGGTCTTAACAGATATAAAGGTTTTCGCATATTCTGCCCAGAACCTCGCTGCTCTGAGTTTCTCCATCATATCCGGGACATCCACTTGATTATCCTAGAAAAATGACCAAACAGAGATTCACATAGAGCTAGTGATCTTATCTTTCAAACATTCATAACTTCCATAACTTATCATTTGTCCAGTATCTTTCACATTCGCACCATCATCTTTGTCTTAATTTTTCTTCTTTCACACAATTATTACAGAAGTTGGATTGCCCTTCGAAGTGACACACTATCTGGAGAGCACTTACCAGGTTCTTCTTCAGCAGTTTGTCCAGATTTTCAGAGACAAGTTGTACAATATGATTTTCTATTTCATTGCTTAATTATCCATGAGGTTGAAAAGGGTAAAGACCTCTACTTAATAATAATAATAAAGACATGTATAATGCGCAACATATCCACTCAGAGGGTGCTTAAGGCGCTTACAACGAGCTACATATAAACTATACTTAGATACAATTATGCTATTATACATGGTAAAAAAGATGATATTAGTTAAAGTTGCTCATTAGATAAGTTTTCAGACTGGTCTTGAAATAATCTACTAGAGAGTACTTACCAGATTCTTCTTGAGCAGTTTGTCCAGATGAGCGAAGGAGTTTGTCTCCAGCCAGGACACCACCGCAGAGCAGATGCTGCTGACCACCCCGGCGTAAGCTCCAGGACGAGCGTCCAGCATGGGGATGTGGGATACCTGCGCAAAGTCCTTCTCGATGCCATCAGAGATGCAGACTGGGATCAGGTGCAGGGTGTCCTATAGTGATAGCGATAATTGTTTAATGTTTATGAGCACTTTTTGGACAGGGAAAAATTCACAGGGGCTCGGGCAAATTTGCGCTCGAAATGCCAAAAAGAGCCCCCCAAAAATTTGCACAGTTCAATGCAAAACAAATTAAATAGTGTTATTTTCATGCAAGCAAGCTTGAAAAGTAGCCCCCCCCCCCCAATTTGTAAAATATTTTTCCCCCTGCTTTTGGAAAGTCTTTAAGAGGTTAAATGTTTCTATAAAGTGCTTTTAATATGAAACTCACCAGTATCCTGATGAATACATGTACTTCTTATGTTAAATCATCCTAAAACAATAGTTATAAAGTTGATTGGTTAAGTCCTGATGATAATAATAATAATGGTCATTTTTTTCCAGTGTAAGTGGGCCCATATAAATTTTAATCAAAGACTTGACCTTTGCTTGACTTCAAAGAAACAACTTACATGAGAGAGATGTTTAGTTTGTGCCAGGCTATACTCCTCCATACACACAGCTGATTTGAGATAGTTGGGTGATATGAGAGCTATCATACAGGATGTCCCGTCGATTGAATGATACAAGGTACGCTGCCATTCATGCCCTGTAAATGATCAACAACAACAATATCAAAGTTATTCAAGAAACATGAAGATGTCTGATTTATCCCTTGTCTAGAGGATTTCAAGCTCCTTTAAAACCTACATGAATCTAGAGATTCCTTTAATGAACATGTAACTTTGTAAATTTACTTTGTTTTCACCAAATTTCAAAAATGACTTTTAAAGGCATCGTTTAACAATGTTAAATCTGAGATGCATGGCCCTCCATGTTATCAGTGTCTTTGATATAGTGTAATATTGAAGCCCTAAAAAAATTGGCGCTTCAAAATGATCATGAAGAGCCTCAAAAAAGTAAAAATCTTTGACCGACCGGTTTTACCAAGCTCGTTTTCCCCAATAGACTGTAGTTTTATGAAAACCGCTAGGAAAACTCAAAATTTGATTTCGATTTCCAATCATAAATATCTTGATAATCAGACAGGTGATCAGCTTGTAAAAGTCATAGGGTTCCTGACTGATTTAAAGGTTTATAATTATCATTGCAGCATGAGCTAAATCCAGGACTTTGTTTAAGAATCTAAGACAAAGTTACCCAATCCCTTTAAGGAACATGCAACTCTGTAAATTTATTTTACTTTTACAAAATTTTAATAGGATATTGGATACTGGAATAAAGTAATAAAGACAAGAAAGATTTTCAATGCAGACTCAATTATTACTTATTTTGAGAAAGATAGTGAATACATCACATATTGGACAAAGTGGATGAGAAATTAGAAGAAAAATCATCTTGTTGTTTTTCACATGCACATAAATATATTTGGGGGGCTATTTTCTCTCTATTTCTCTATTTCCTAGAAAACTTGGACTTTTTTTCTTCTATTTTCTTATGGAAAAAATGAAAAAAAAAAAATTCTATGCTAGGGATTTAGAACATAAGATAAATGAAAAATATATGTAGAGACTTAGCTTTAGACTATTTTATTTTGACTAGGGAAAGCATTATACAGTGACAACTTGCATGGTATAGTGTATTAAAGAGGGATAAGAGAAAATGATTTCTCAACAACTGCAGGGAATTTTAACATAATTTATATCTTTGAAATGCCATTTTTCAAAATACATATCAATTACAATATAATACCCCGGAAAAATATTTCATAACGTTCAAAATGATTCTAACACATGAATAATTATATCTCATGACAAAATGGTTTAATGGTGCATTATACCGTAGGCATTCAACTGTACACCTCCAATTTTCATACTTTGTAATTGGTATTATGGCACCAATTGAAAATGAATAAGATTAGTCTCCATTTCAAAACCATTAATAGACAAATGATGCCTTATCAAAGGTGCAAATTATGTCAGCTTCATCAGTCTTAATATTCAACAATGAGTTTGTATCTTTAATGTTTTATTTCTTCTACATAACAAACAAATAAATGAATGTTTCTTGTTTTGTATTTTTTTAACAGATTATTATTAAAGTTTTCTGACAGAGAGGGTCTATATATATATATATATATATAGTGTATAGATTATGTATGAATGTTCATCTTTTGTCTGTTTGGAACCAGAAGGGCGTTAAAGAATATGAGTCAAAACCCTTCTGGCTCCAAACACAAAATATAATCATGAGAATGGTTGGAATATAGCTCCAACTACTGGTACTGTACATGTTAGTCATAATTAGTATACCAGAGATACCTGTATATATATATATATATATATATATATATATATATATATATATAATGAGCTAAGAGACAAGAAGAAGAAAAGAGATCATTACTGTGATAAAAAGCTTAATGTAATGCCATGACAACAAAAACACAAAAGGCTCTATGATCTATGTGCAAGAAAAATGTGTACATGTATGCCAGCAGAAGTAAAAGGCAACAAAAACCATAGAGAAGATCTATACATGTAGCTATAACTGCCAGTCCGCAGAAGACTGAACTAGAATTGCAGAGGGTGCTTTGTTAAGAAGAAAAGCAGAGATTGCAGAGAAGATGTGCTCACCAGTGTTCAAAACATCAGAATGAGTTGCCACAACACTATAAGACCAGTAATACAAATGCTCAACAAATACACACAGCATGCTAAGGAAACAGAAATATGTAAAATGAACTATAATGCCACATGTATAGACTGAACTAGAATTGTGAATGCAACTGTGAGATGTGCTGTGTTATATAGGGTAGAGTAGAAAGTGCAGAGAAGTGACCCTCACCAGTCTTAAGTTCCTGTATGTCATAAAATATCTTCAGCTCAGGGTTTAGCTTCTGCAGCTGGCTGACAATGGGTGTGGCCTGGTCTGCGTCGGCATGGCAATACGACACAAAGACATCGTAGTGGTTGGGATCTGTGGTGGCAACCTTGACCACTTTGTCTGTGGCCGTGAGCGATTTGACCAACTGACCGCAGGCCTGGGCTATGCTAGCATCCATGTTCTCCCTGTTTGAGTCAATATCATAGGCAGGCCAAGAAATAAAAAATAAAGAGTTTTGGAGGTGCTGCAGATTGGAGAAATTAGCCTAAATATTGCAAAAATTTCAAAAGAAATAGTTGGGGCAACCAATAATTGAACTTGCCCTATCTTTTCAATAGAATAAAATGAGAGCTAAAGTCTGATTGTCTGTTGATTGTCGAATATTTACAATGTGTCGTGGAGAGGAATAATAAAATCCCCACTAAACCGGTGCATTTTCTTGTGTCATCTTCTTATCTTGACTATAAAGAAATTGTGCTGCCAAAAGGGAAATGATCTCTGTTTTTAAAAATTAATTATCCATCATTTTGTTAGTTAGATTTATTTAAAATTTTTAAATTATTTAATTTCAAGGCAAAGTTCTACAAAAATAAAAATACAGAGACAATGGACATATACCATCGAGCTATACCAGAGGATAGCTAGAATGAAATTGATTGTGCTTTGTAGACCAGCTTTTTGTCACTAGATTTTACTAAGCTACTTTACAAAAATTCCTTATTATAAGCCTGATTCATTTGCAAAAATCTGGATGGATAGTAGAGGGAAAGTACCTGCAGTCTGCATACTGCACAAGACCCATATACGTTGGAAGGGTCACTGTCTCCACAAAAAAAGGCGCCAGCACATTGCGATGCGCCTGTCTGTTACAACAGAGGGCGATGTTGTACTGTTCCAGACAGGATTCCGAAGCCAGGTAGTTGGAGCTGAGGACTTTGGGGTGAAACAGGGAAACAAATATTCAACAAATTTATGGGGCTACTTTTCAAGCTTGCTTTATGAAATTAACACTCTTTAGTTTGTGTTGTATTGAAGTCTATGCACATTTTTGGGGGCTCTTCTTGGCATTTTGGGGGAAACTTCGCTCCGAGCCACCTGGGGTGAAAAGTAGCATGCAAGCAAATTATAGTAAATAGCTTTGAGATGCAAAGTTGATACAGCTTATGTACAACAAGTTTGCTCAATTGACACAGGAAAAATATCGTATTCCTATAAATGTAGATGGAAAAATCAAGAATGAAAAGACAAATTATCTTCAAGTTTTCAATTTTAAAACGTCTTAGCAGACATTGCAGGCCATAGAGTCAACAACTGACTATTAAAGTTTTAAGATGGAGGTTCCTATTCATATTAACTGTCTCAGTGCTGCAGGTGATTTAACATCCAAACTTCCAAAAGCTAATACTTCTAAAATACTTTTGATGATACAAAGATTCTTTTTCTTTTTTTTAAATCAAAATGGGTCCATAAGTCGTGTACTAGTTTAATTAGTATGGAATTGACAACTGTTTGCTTCCACATGACTTGCTAAAAAAAAATTGTGAAAAATCTGGTCTTGAATTCATTTCTGTAAATTTGATAGCACCATAAGGACTAATAAAGATAAAGATGCTGATCACAAACATGCACTCATGTACATTCATGTCTAAGCACGAACGTCTTTTGGCAAGACATTAATGTACATTTGCCACGCTCAACCCAGGTGAGGTAAATGGGTACCGGTAGAAAGAAGTTCCTTGCCTGCTTGAGGCGCTTTTCATGGCATAACATGATTGCAGTGCCCTCAGGGACAACAGTTTTAATACTGATGTGGCTACCCTGTGCAAACTAGACATACGGTACTACTATTATTAACATTATCATCTATATACCAGTACCGTATACTGTCTGCTACGTGTATGTTTTGACAATCTTGAATGAAAATACCAGCAAAAACCCATCACTTTAAATATCGGGTTCAAATTCAAGGAGCTCTCACAGATTTTCCAAGGCCCATTTTGAATATTATATTTCAGTTTAACAAGTGAGTATGCTGGTACATGTATCTGATGCTTTCTAGCCAAATACAAGGTGTTTTTACAGCTTAAAAATCTTGTTCTTGTCTGTTTGTGACCTAGCTTGCTGTCCCCTACACTAGCCTTGCTACTTGTTTTACTCTAAATTCTGTCCCTTTGTAAAGTCTGCATTTCGACCCAGGGTCAGGTGGTTTGTTGTACATATTGGTGATACCATAATGTGAAGTGTATACTAGCAACGCTTAAGTTTTCTTGACATCAGGCAGAACCCTTGTTTGAAAAGAAGGTTGAGCTCTATAGAAAAGGATAAGAACACTTCATACTTGGAAGAATTCTCATTCTCTGTATGCTATTTTAGAATAATATGATCAAAGAAATGTCACCTGAAAGGCTTTCCTCTGCAAATGCCCTTGTATTTGAAAAATGATGATAAAATGAATGAAAATTTGGTCCAAACATTTTGGATGTAGTCCCATATACTCATTTTTGTTTGCATAATTGTTTGCTTAATCACAGAGTTGCCAATTACCCCAACTGAACAAAAATCTTATCCTCCCCCCCCCCCAAAAAAAAAAGAAAAAAAAAGTTGGATCGATAAATACTTTTTTAAATGTTAGACTGTGTTCATCAACATTTTGAAGTATTATGCATGAGCATATTTTACAAATAATTTGTTGAATATGCTAGAGTGCGTCATGAATGATCGTTCAATGAACAAATGAACAGCATGTAAATGTATTTTTATGGACCATTGGTTGATATGCATGATTTCGTCATGACTGGTGTGTTTGATGAACCAATGAACATCCCAAAATTGCCAATGTGAGATGCTTGTAGGATAGTTTCCAGGAGAGAATGGGCAATTTGCCAATGAAAATGGCACACACACACAAAATACACAAGCACATTTAATTTGTTCAAATAAAAAAAATAAAAAAAATTAAATCGTACTGTCCTATTTACTTATTAAAATCCTACAAAATAAGATAAAATCATACTGGTTGGCAGCTCTGTAATCAGCCATTTTCCAATTGCTTCTAGACTATTGCTTTGACAACATAATTGCGCGACCTGGGACCCATTTCACAAAGCCTTTTTCCAATGACAAATGACTAAAATCAGTAACAAATCTGCTGATAACCAATCAGAAGCAAGGATTTCAGTAGCTTATAACAAAATTTGTCATTTGTCACAGATGTCAAGTTTTGTAAAATGCCCCCCCCCCCCAGTACTCAACCTCATTTTTAAAGCAAGTAGATGGACCACCATTTTGATAAAACCCTCCTTTCGTTCAAGCTACCTGTGACGACTCTGGCCGACTTGGAGACCACGTCATACATCTGGTCCTGCCAGAAGGCCTCCGTATCCACCTTCTGTCTGGCGGTGAAGATGCGGATGTCAGATTTCTCCTCCTGGAGCTGGGCCTGGATCTTGTCTGCGATCTCCTGGTCCTTGTCGCTGAACGAGAGGTAGACGTCGTATTCCAGGGTTACCTCCTGCATGTATTGATGGAAAAGTTATATATTAAATTCATTATTTGCAAACTTTCAGTGATCACTCTCTTTTGATTATAATGATTAATTTAACAAAAAAAATCAAAGAACAAATATTTTATATACATACTAGGGACCCGTTTCACAAAGCCTTTTTACAATGACAAATGACAAATATCAGTGACAAATCTGCTGATAACAATGCAATCAGAGCAAGCATTTCAGTAGCTTATAACAACAACTGTCATTTGTCATTGATGACAAGTTTTGTGAAACACCCCCCTGGTATGTAATTTTTGTATACACTTATGATTATTTCCTAGGCCTATAATAATATTGTGCTCAATCAAATGAAATACATAAATTTAGATATATGACCTACACATTAGTTGTTGCTGAGCTTTAGCATCATAGTGATAAATGTGTGATTCAGGATGTGCAGAACAAGAGATGGGGGGGGGGGGGTAATTACTGAGGGGGAACATAAGGGTAAAATGTGAATTATAATCCAAATCATAACTGGGAATGAGATTAGAACATTCAAATCTGAACCTGACCTGACCTGAGATTTGTCGATTCGTATCTGGACTTGAGCTCTGCAGACATGTCGAGAATTGGAGGAGCAAAGAGGGCGTGGGGGGGGGGGAGGGAGCGAGGAAGGGGTAGGGGTTTAGATGTCCAGGAGAGATTCATTTCCAATGGTTTACTTCATAAATAAAGGCATACCTGAGGAATAAGATTAGCTGACTCATATCTCGACTTGAGCTCTGCGAAATTTTCCAGGATGTTATTATCCACCCCTCGAAAAAAATTAGTGGCCTGTCCATCTTTAATGTTTGCATAGATGACGATCTTCAGGAGCCTGATGGGAAGGCCAGCCTTGACCCAGCTGATTGCTGCGTGGACCATGCCCTCCAACATGACCTTAGGGTCGATGCCCTGTCAGGTGATGGAAGAGGGGGAAGCGTATAGTATTAACTTCATTGATGTGTACATCAATATTCCATTTATAAACATATAAATCAATTTACAATGCAATGTCACAAATCAATGTTCTGTTTGTAAACATATATGTCATATAAATCAATTTACAATGTAATGTAACAAATCAATATTCTGTTTGTAAACATATATATTACATAAATCAATTTACAATGCAGTGTATATAGCAAAACAGAAGGAGAATCATATACAGCACAAACTCTCTTTTCCCCCTTGTAATAACAGGGTTATACAGGGTTATTACCAGAGCATAATAACCTTTGCGCTATTGACTTCAGGAAAAATACCAAGAACAAAGTGTCCAATGCCCCCCCCCCCCCCACCAAAAAGAAGGGTACAAATAATGGTAATGAAAATGTTAATGCATATATAATCAGGCTTCTGGGCAGGAATTTATTTACACTAGGTATACAGCTAGGTGGTAGAGCAGTGGACTTGTAACCAGGAGGTCCCAGGTTCAAACGAAGTTGATGTGCTCGTTCCCTTTGATTTAATCTTCATTGCCAAGTTCCTTGGAGAGGACTTAAAGCAGTTTGTATCCTGGTTGCATACTATTTAATCATACACATGTTTTCTTAGCAGTCAGGTAAAACCAACCAACAACTTAAACTAAACTTTGAGGATGCAAAATTATGTTGGTCCTTCCAAGTACTCCTTGAGATGCTGTGTATTATTGGAATGTGAAAAGCTATTAGAATCATCATAGCCTTCTACAATTAAATGATTACACAATTTAGTCCAAATTCATATTTCAAAAATTGTATTGGTCCAAAAGGAAATTTGTTGCGTTTACATGTACATGTACATGTGTTATTCACAGAGAAAAGTAAATAAATAAAATGTACACATGAATTGATACATCTATACAACTTAAAACAAATATATAGAGAGAATAAACATAAAGCACTTTAACATTCACATTATATATAGACATTTTCTCTGAATGTACATTATATTTAATGTTTGTTCATATATCCAGAGTAATTACCAACACAATATAACATTGTAATTATTATTCTTATCAATATTATTATTATTTTCATTGTTATTATTCTTATTATTATCAGTTTAACTCATTTTATCATTATAATAATTATTACAAATTTAGATTACAAATCAAATCATATGTCTCACATTAAAAGGTTTTATAGGTAGAGACTGAAATACAGGGAGAGGGGAGAAAATTAATGGAAGAGGTAAAAAGAGAGAGGCTAGGGGGGGGGGGGGGGGGGGGAGAAAGAACGAGCTAGAAGGGAAAGAAGGGGAAGAAAAAGAAGGACAGAGCACAGAATATGCACTATAATTTAATAATATATTCAATATAAAAGTTTGAAGAATATAAAACCTGTTCATCACAATTAACAGACAAAATGCTAAAATCAATACCCATCTTTGATATTAGACATTAAAATTAGGCATCGATTTACTGTATGCTATCCAGGGGGAAATAAAAAAATAAAAAAATAAAACTTTAAGGGGTGAGAACAGGTACATGACTACTGACAATATCACCATGTAATAAGGAGCAGATATATTACAGCTGCTTGTGCAATATATAATGACATCATGACGGAGGCACAATCATATTATGACCTTCACCTAATGAGTCAATACGGCTTCCTTGTCAAGATTGCATGACCGCAAATTTCTTTTCCAAGAGAGGGAATACAGAGCTCCTAATGGGATGCATGGACAGTGCATGACAAATGATGCACATATTCTGTACTGGTACAATTATATATAGTCATGCATGTACATGTACATACTACTTCAGGAAGACAGTGGTATGTATTCCTTTATAGTACACGTTTCAATGAGAAAACTGTTAAAGGAAAACCCCAAAATGTGGTCTTTGATGAGATTCTCTATCGTCTTTCTTTAAATACAGGTACTCTTAAAATCAGGTTCACTACACTGCTCTTAATTGCTTTCAATTATTAAAGGGATAGTTGAGTTCTGTTTTCAGACCGCAAATGCCTTCAAATGTTATTGCTCTTATTCATATCTATGACATTTCTAGTGCCCTTTTAGAACCTAAAATTGCTATGAAGGTAATTTTAGACCCCAAAATGTGTATAATTAGCCAATACAATCATACCAATTCAGCTCCACTTTCAAAAAAATATGGTGACCGTTAATTAATTAACAATACATGGGCTGGCTGGTCGTGCGTAATAATAACCAACACGAAAGAGCCAACATCGGCATTGGCTGAAATACAACGTAAAAGGCGCTATCTCGTTTTGTCAACGTTTTTCAACGGCTTTTTCAAATTATCAAATATTTGAGGTGGTACACAAATACTAGAAATCGTTATATTTATGGATATTTCAGCCGTCTCTGAACCGACTTTGATCAAACAAAGATGCTCTTTCAAATTCGACATTCAGTTTTTCACTATCTCACAAAAAATTATTTTGTGTAGCGCCCTCTGCAACAGAACTCAACTATCCCTTTAATAATCTTTTCTTTGGTTTGCCAGCCAGGCAAACTAGACAATTACTTTTTAAGTTGCATATATTCAACTTTTGGAGGTCATTTCAATTTTCAACACTGGATGGATTTGAACAAAGTTCACATGTTACAATACTTTTCATTGTCATTCCAACTTATGTACACTGCATGTTGTCAATAGCACCATGGCAACTGCAATTTCGAGGCCTGGGCCCTAGCTGTTTCGCGGCAAAGAATAGCAACTGATTGAAATTGATCACAACTTCGTATCAATCACAAAGATACGTGTACTTTGGGAGGGGGGATTGTAATAAATTTGTGATTGATCAAGGACTTGCAAAGTTCAGACTTTGATCAACCACAGCTCTTTGTATAATTAAAGTAGCCACACGAAGAATCAAAAGTGTTTTGAATTGATGCAAAACTCATATCATTGCGAAGGGGAAGCCTTGTCGATCAAATACAACAACTCTTCTCTTCAAAATATGTTTGGGGCCCGCAGTAATCAACTCTCAAAAATGTTAGTTTTGAGATCCAGATTTTCTGCCTTCAGCGGTCCTTTGTAGAGCGTCAATATTTGTGACATCACATACGGGACACGGCTGGCTAGCTGCATACTGCTAAACGGCACTGAGCTGTTCGTCCAGTGTGTGACGTCACAATTCAGAGCTCGCTACGCTTGTGTGTTTGACTTACGTCCAGTGGCGTTCTGGGGTCTAAGGAGGGTCTTGAAAAATTGCATTTTACGCCTTTCCATGATATCTATATGATTTCTCAGCAAATTGTTCATGTTTTTCAAAAGAAAATCTTTCCATCCATATGTAATCTGTTCTAATTATGAGTTGTTAGTGAATTTTCTTTGTGTAGCTACTTTAAGAAGGGGCCTTAACAAAAAAAATGCTGGGTAATGTTGATTGTTGAATGTCATAAAGCTGTTTGAATGATCACTAACTGACAAAGCTTTGTGGAAAACAGCAGCTTGTCTAGGTATGTATTTTTCATTCCTTTTTTTCTCATTATTGGATAATAATAATAATAATAATAGCGTAATAGTCCACTCCAAATTTTATTAAACCGAAACAGAAATTCTTTTTGCCCAATTGATCGTGAGCCCGGCAGCCACTGAGCAGCGCCAGATCGACGTTGCTCTATCCCTTATCGTTGAACGCCAAACAAGGTAGCAACAACTCCCATCTTTTAATGTCTTTTGGTATGACGCGGCCGGGGTTCGAACCCACGACCTCCCGGATGTGAGGCGGACGCTCTACTGACTGAGCCAACACTCCGGTGTAAATGCATGTACATGGTTCTCAAAGCAACCCTAATTTATATACAGGGCCCTAACCGGTATCACATACATGTAGATGGACAATATCAGGCCTTGCCCTATGATATTTCGAGATGAATTGGAAGAAAAAAATTATCTTTTGATTAAATAAAAGAATTTAAAGATCAAAATTATCAGGCGTGTCCAATGTAATATCAATTAAAATGCTTGGAAAGAAAGCAGAAATATCAGAGAAGTAGATTGGTGATAATGCAAGCAAATTCTGACAAACAATAAAACACTTACTGGTACATTCATTTTTGAAAGCCGTAATCACTATAGATACATTTGGGATTCAAAATTCCATGTAGTGATTGCTTTTCGATAAAGTCATAACATTCTTAATATTTGTCAGAATTCATTACAAATTTCACCCAACTGCTTCTACGTGAACAGAAGATTCTATGAGACGACGTGTGCTGCCAATTGCATGGGCATATGGTTTCATCCTTTTAATTCATTCAAATATGAGAATCCTTTGATTTGACTAATGGGTCTTCTTGTATCACTACCATAAGTCAAGTCGATGACAATGAAAAGAAAGATCTTCCATTTTTAGAATCAAATAAATGAATAAAGGATATAATTCATTCATAACACATTGCCCTTCTCTGATTTGTCTGCTTCATTAACAACAACCTGATCAAGTGTACCAATCACGTGAACAAATAATCTGTGTTCATTGAATATCTAGAATATATAAAATAAACCTTACAAAAACTTTACCTAGCATTCTATAGCTTAATGGTTAAGCGGTATGAGGAAAGTAAACAACAACAAAAAAACCTGCGTAGAGAACACATGTTCAACTTGGGTTTCGTGCATACCTTATTCTATTTAATGTTTACTGACAGTGTATTAAAACCCCTTACATCTCTTTATAGAAGTAATATTTAAAAGCTCATATTCCAAATACAGCTTAATAGAGACATGGAGCCCCTTTCATCAAGAGTAAAACATGTTTTGGTGATTGGAACACTTTAAGGTTTGATTTCCTGTTTAATAATGAATGTATTCAATTATCGGTAGCCTGATTCAGGAAGCAAGTCAGGAAACTGATGCCCACCCACAAGGACATCCGTTATCCCTCAAATCACTAAAGGAAGTTAATTAAGAGCACTGGTAAAAGCGAGCAGTACTTATTTGGTCTCAATTTTATGTGGAGTAAATGATGACATCTATTCTGGAATACAGTCAAACCTGTCTACAGTGACCACCCAAGGAAAACACAAAAAGTGCTTGTTGTAGACAGGTGGTCTTTGAAGACAGGTGGTCACTAAAGCAGGTTTGACTGTATTATCAATATCATTTCCCTACTGATGTGTTGTACAGACTAGATGGGACACAGGCAGGACCATCTAGAAAAAAAATCTTGATCAAATACAATACATTAATATTGAATCACTTAACCCCCCCCCCCCTCTCTCACAAAAAACAACAACAACAACAAACAAACAAACAAACACACACACACACACACCTCATTTGTACCAGCCTGTATGAAATAATAATACTAATACACCGTTCTGATATCATATATCACATTGTGATATAATCACTCTCTCTATGTGATTCTACTGCTTCCATACAGTGAGCTGTACATTGTAAAAAATATTCCACTATTAAGTTTATTAGTCAATGATTTTCTTGTCAAATTTATCACTTTTAAAGGTACTACTGCCTATTTGCAGGTCAAAACAAAGGAAAAGGTTAAATTCCAACGGCATATGAAAGACAGTACAATGTACTTATTTAGAACTTCCCTCAAAACGAAAGGGTTTGAAAATGACTTTTTGTGGTAAAATAACGACCATTGGTTGTAGAATCGACATAAGTGATTGTAATCACCTAAGTAATAGTTTGATTTTCAGACATCTTGTACCGAAGGATTGTACGTTTTGTGCTGCACATTCAATCACATTCAAGATTCAATCAGTTTAATTATGGCCATTACAAGTAGTGGGTTATTAATGTAGACAAATGCTCATGTACCTGTTACAGCTCATTTTATGTATGTTATTACCTCAGAAGAAAAAAATGTCAGTTAGTCACTCAATAGTGTCTGACAGGAAAGTCTAGGAAGTAAACGGGTTTCCTTGCATAATTAGAGATACTAGGACACTGCTAACGTTTACATTTCACAGATAGGACATATATGACATATTCATAATTCCTGCAAAGTTCTACAGAATTTGATGTTGGCTGCAAAAGGGACACATTATCTTTAAAACCCCCCAAATAGATTTACTTTTACAACTTATACCACTAACAATGTCCAAAGGAAAAATACACAACAACGCTAGACACCTACCTGATTGCCTGTGCTAAGTAATGGTGTGATAACGCTAGCATCTTTGTTCTTGAGGATGGGCACCAGGCATCTGAAGGCGTGGCCGACCAACTCCTGAGGGCGACCTGAACGATGCCTGTTAAACCAAGAAGCAAAAGGAGACGTAATGCATATATACCCCTGAGCAAAACCATGATGGTCTCCTACTTATCATTATTATATTATTTTCTTTACTCTTTATTATTTTTTTCTCTCTCAAATTCACTCTCCTTGTACGCCCTTTATACTACTCCTTCTTCGCCTCCTATAATATCTTTTAAATTCAGACCTACTAACTTTATTTGTTACTCAGTATGGGAGCCTATTCACATACAAGATATGCTTTTTATTTAGGCTCCCCACATTTTGCATTGTATAACCTTGTCTATCATATTGATATATTTTGAAACTGAAATCTTTAATTTTTGGTGTAATCTACGCTTATACGCTTGTTTAAACAAAACAAAAAAATTAAATTGTTTTTTGTATGTAAATGTGGAACAAATAAACTTCAAATTTCAAACTATACATGTCTTGGGCAAATTTGGTAATGTTTGTATTAAATAAACAGGAGCATTTTGTGATGTTTATAAACAGGAAAACACTTTAATGCTTGAAATGAATAGGTCTTTTAAGTGAGACTAAAAGGCAGGAAACATTGGATGCAGTAAATTCATGAACCATATATGTAGGATCTACATGTAGTGCAATATGGTATTTTATTTCCTCCACAAAATACATAAGTTTGATCTGACATGCATTGAAAACAGTGTGAAAACATATCTGAAAATATACATATATTCATAGTAATAATGATAATAATAATAATTATGATGATGATGTCAGATGAATATTAGTCATTAAAAAAAAAAAAGAAGAGGAAGAAGAAAAAGAAAATGAAGAATACGCTTTTATCAGTCACTTGCAACCACAAAATGAATTATAACACATTAATTCTTCTTCTTACCTTCTACTTTCGAAGCAGAGTAGTCTATGATAAGGTATCTTTGAAGGTAGCGGCTTGGACCACCAGCACGAGTAGAGAGAGCGGAGATCCTCTTCCTTATCTAGAGATAGCTCTTTCACGTCTACACCCAAGTTTTCATGCAGAGCGCCGATCACTGTGCCTGGCATCTTGTCATAGTTATCTGGATAGATATGTAATTGTGAGAAATATTAAAGACAGATTAAGATTGAGAAAAAAAAAGATGATTTATATTCATTTTATAACTTATCTCTTTTATTCACTTTTTCTTAAACCTTAGACTTCCACATTGCTTGGAATATCTCATACAGCCTACTATGGCAACTAACTAAAAGCTAAAGAAGGGTTTTAGTTTTTCAGTACGGTTCAGTTATTCGTTCAAATTGATTCAAATTAGAATGGTATTCTTTAAAGTCCACATAAGGGCTACCTAAATAAGACACTTCAAGGGTAGCACTTGTATGAATGACCCCCATATATCCACAGATCTTTTACACAAGGAGACTTTGCACATTTTTCAGAATTATCACGTCCAAACTGATGAAGATTTTTTTTTCTTTTTTTTTCATATTTTTCCCTCCACAGGGATTTTATTGATTTTCATTTGAAACACATACAAAAATATATATTCAAGGTAATTTACATAATAACATAAATAAAATAAAATTGGCTTTTCAAGATACAAGTATTGTTGAGCTGTTGAGTTAACAGAAAACTAACAAATCAATAATTCATTTCTAACGCTCATGGAAAGAAAAACAAATACAGAAAAAATATCATTTTAAGTAAACAAATTCCTGAATTGAAACCATTTTCTTGTGAATTTATTATTTCTACAATTCAAATTTGCAATATACTTTTCGTTTTTGAAACTGATGAAGATGCTGATGAAGATGCTTCATGAATACCTTTTGTTCTAAAACAATACTTCCCCTGTGTTTCAGATAATGTACAACCAGTGCATTTAAATGTATACCTTTCATGAACACGCGTATCTAGCGTTCGTTTTGATGGGTTATACAGTTTTGTACAAATTGTCCAAAGTGGATTTTTATTAACTACAAGTAACTGTAAGTACAAGCAAAGAAACAATACTGGCTGAACCTACATATATGCTTACTGTGTACATGACACTGTAGTCAACAGTCATACAATACTATGGAGGAGAAGGAGAGGGGGAGAAGGGGGAGGGGAAGAGAGAGAGAGAGAGAGAGAGAGGGGGGGGGGGGGCTTGAGACAGAGGGAGGGAGAAAATTGGTGGACACTGACGTGTATTCTATAACACATAAATGTAAATCATCATGTTGATACATAAAATATGTACATTAATTAATATTTAGATGATCAGATCGAGAGTGGAGAAATACTAGAGAGAGAAATGTACTGATAAATATATTTAGGTATTGTTAATATTATAATGGTAAAATACAAATGAAAGTGAAATGGATGAAGAAGACATACAGTGAACGTGTATTTTGAGAAAGACACACAATATAACGACATTAACATTCGGGCCCCCCTCCCCCCCCCCCCCACTCAGTATTACTGTTATTTACAGTAGGGTAAGCTTACATGTACAATGTATGCATGTTCCCTCCCTTTGAAAGCACCCCCTATCTCTGGTGTGTAAAGTCAATACGGGCCAGATTTTTTAAAGCACTCCCCTATCTCTGGTGTGTTTAACTCAATATGGGCCGGACTTTGTTGGGTGAAAAGTACCCCTTTACTGGATATTTTGGGAATGACACAAATGCAGTCCACGGAGTGGGGGGGGGGGGGGGGGGGGGGGGATAAACATAGAATGAGAAAACTATAGATAAGAGATATATTATTACAAGATTGACGACAGGGAGACACTTAAAGAGAAAGAAAGACACAGACTGGCGAGAGAGAAAGAGATAGACACAGAAAGAATATTGTAAAACTGTAAAAATTACTCACTCCCAAAAGAAGACACAAAGATGACATCCACTTTGTCCTTTTTCTTGAGTTTTGTGATGTCCCCAAAACAGAGCTCAATTTTGCAATCACCTCCCTGCGACTTGACAGAGATTGTGTCGTGAAGTATTAGCCCCGGCCCCGGCATGATGCTAGATGTCAGATGGCAGCACCTGCAAAATTGATGGAACATAATGTTTAGAAAGGGCAAGATCTAGGCTACATACTTGGCAATCAAAATAGCAAGAACTAGAAACCATTTATTGGGACGACTTTTAATAATAATATAGATTCCTCTAGGCCAAATAAAACTTACCTTTGGCTTTCTTCTTCTTCTTCTTCCTAAAAAGTGCAGGCTTCATGAAATGAAGATTAACGCACTGTGGGTTGATGCGCACAGTCAATACAGATATACACATTGTTTAGTGAATGTGCGGTTAAAATAAAAATATTAAAAAAATAAAATTAAAAAAAATAAAGTTGGCTTTATTACAATAGTTACATTAGTTTTACACAGACGATCAAAGTGACAACACCTTTTGGAAATGCTGTCCATATCGGTGTGACACTTAAATTCCCCATCCATTGCATCGGTTAAGCTCCCCGCGGCCGCGGCCTTATCTGCCTGCCGCTCATGCCGTACCCGGGCCTGTAGCTGTTCGGACGCGTACAGCATATGTACGCGGAGCTAGCTGGATCTGGAGTGCCTTTTTAAAAATACTTTACACACATACACAGTAGGCCTAGACATTTTATAGTTAAAGATTACACAAAGCCTGGGACATGAACGTAAATAATATCAATTAATTTCTAAAGACTTACTGAATTGATATGGTTAGATCGTAGAGCAGCAAACAAACAGTTGTTTGTTATTCTTTTCACGATCGTCAATGATTGTGCTGCACAGCTGTTCTGAGAGTCCGTACGTCACATTGTGCGCGCGGCAGTTACTTCCGCTATTTGACGTCATAGACCAGGGGAAGCCCCTTTCAATGCAGCCTCCTATGGGGTACCATTTCCCCTTTTTGTTGTTCTTTTACATTTGAAGCTATGGTACGGTACTTCTTGTATGGCGCAGTATAAATGACCATTATTATTATCATCATCATCATCATCATCATCATCATCATCATCATCATCATCATCATCATCATCGTCATCATTATCACCATCTTCATCATCATCATCATCATCATCACCATCTTCATCATCATCGTCATCATCATCATCATCATTGTTGATCATTCTTAAGCGCAGCTAGATCGAGGCACTTTTTTCTTCTATGGTACATGCATGTTGCCATTTTATTGTATGATGGGGTGGAGGTGACAGGTATCCAAATGCTTGGAAAATAAAAATCTTACTTTTGCCATTGGGTTTTAAAAAAATATAACTATGCATCAAATATATTTAAACATGAAAATAAGAAAGAAAAGAAAACAGGAGGCAGTTTGGCAAATTCAAATCATCATGTGGTACCTCAATATAACTTCCATCATACAAATACATAGGGGTTCGAGACTTCAAGTCCTACGCTAATCAGACAAATGTGACTGTCACTGTGTTGAGTGTAAGCATGCCCCTCCCCTCTGTTCTCGATGAAGGCTCAGGTTTAGGGGAAAACACTCCTTTCCGCAGAAAGACAGTTTTTAACTGGAGCTCCCATGTGTAGGAAAGTCATGCCCTATGAACGTTAATTTCCTACACTTTTCGCAAAGAGTAGAATGTAATCCCAATGTCTATGATGCTTGACATTCACAACTGGTAATCAACATACAGATCTTTGGGATAGGCTGCATAGCCCTTTGAAGATTATAAGTATAAGAAGAACAAAACAAAAAAGAAAACAAAAACAAAAACAACAACAACATAAAACAGTCTGAAAGCAGGATATAGAAATCAAAATCCACACTGTGGAATTTATTGCGATTTTCAAATAACTGTAAATATAGCATGTTGTATAACCAAGGGGAAGAAAACTTGTAACAGAGCATAGCCTTGAAGTCAATACAATCACTCTATGATCTCATTCATAATAATCCATCACAAAAAGTATAAAACACAATCAAACATGCCTTTTACTGTTAAAAAGAAAGTACTTTAGTCAAGTGCATTTTTAGGTGTAGAAGACTTGTTTGTTCATGAATATCAAGCTTTGGCACTTGCTTGCATCATCTACTTTGAAAAAAAAAAGTCTCGGAAAGGGACTAATTACTGTCCCGATATAATTCCCAAAGCTTGGACTTCCCACAATTTTCAATATTGAAATCAAAAATGAAAGCATTTTCGATGCCACTAGAATTTTAATATAGTTCATTTATCTTAATAACATCATTCATTATAATTATCCACTAATAAACAACCAATGATTATGTACATTATATCTGACATCTTCAATAAATAACAAACAACAAAAATCTATACCCTTAGAAATAAGAATATAATTAGGCTAACAGGTACTGGAAGATGTTAAGACCAAGGATAATTTAGCATCATAATTATCAAGCTTTTAAAGACATAAATTATATGCAAGAATGCTCAGCATCCACTTTGAAGTCATAACATAAGGAAGCAAGATTTTAAAAAAAGGAATAAAACACAAAAATAAGATAACAAGAACATTTTTCTAAACGTCAAATTGTAAGTGGGTGAACCTACATTCTTCTTTGTACACCTACATTCTTTTTGTACACCTTATACAACTACAGAGCAAGAAAGCGCACTAAACTTGATCCAGACTCAATCTGAATTCCACAGCACTTTTCTCAAGGCCTGTTATAAAAAAAGAAAATGCAATAACATACACAAAGCCCTTTAATAGTACAAAATGCGAGTTGCTCTCTCAATAAATAATTATATATCAAATAAAAGAAGAGTTTTAGCTTCATCATTATCACCCTTTCAAAAATGGCCTAAATAATGGGAAAAGGTACAAAGATAGGCATGAATACCATTTTTTAAAACAAAATTTAAAAACTGTTTGAGTCTAAAATAATATTTTACCTCTTGCCATTAACAAAATTATAAGAAAACATAGGAATACAGTTCAAAATAAAAGGTGACAAGTTTGGTTGTCTAGAGCTTATATAATTGCTACATGTATTTACATTCAACTCTATAATTTTTTGTAATTACTCTTTAATTATTCAATTTCTATTACTGCTTATTCCCCTTTCCATATTGTTATACAAATATTGAACAATTTTGTGAAGTTTTCTCACTGCAATCACAAAGAATAGTCACAATCGCGTAATATACTACATTTTCTATTTTTACAACATCATCAATTCGCCATGCAAGAAAACTACACTATATTATTGCACCTACAGACTTCCAAATTCTCAATTCACTATACAAAAGTCAAGCACCGAGAAAGTCGCAGAATCTTTTTTGTTTTTCAAAATGTAAATCACACATCCTTCCTTGACAATTGAAGAAATAAATATTACTTTAAAAGAAGCTAGATCAGGAAATATGTACTGTTCCTAGAAAATAGCATATTAAAAAAGCTTGTGATGTCCAAACTGCAAAGCACACAATGCTGTGTAATACATAATGTCTGTGTCTGAAAAATCAATGTTGAGAATTACACAAATGAGATTATCCTGCACACTTCTTATCAACTGGCAAAATTCTAATCATGAGAATGGCCAGATTGAGATCCACTGGAGAGGCAGATCCAGGATTATCATCTTCGAGGGGCATCAGGCTCTTCATCCGCTTAGTAAAAGGCTGCATTGGCCTTTGACCATTACAAGAAGAAGAAAGGAGGCCCAGATATTTTTCCCCTGATAAGAACAAAATGATTTATTTATGCTCATCTGTGAAGATGGTCGATGGTGGTCTTCCAGATAGTACTGTCGAGAGACAGAAGGGGAGCTGATGACGGAACTGAGTGAAAAAAGGGCATGTTATTCCATGGTTTATGAGATAAACCACACTTATATCTTTGGTTGTCCTTCTTTCGCTGCTATTACTCTAAAGCCATTCTCTAGTACTTTGCACCAGGCTTGAAGAGACCCCATCCGTGGAAGCATCGGATGAACTTCCAGGGCTCTTTGCCCTTCTTGACGGCAGAGAACTTACGAGGGGCGTCTGGCTCCTTGTTCTTCATATGCTGGACGTATACCTGTCAACAAAATAAAGGATGAAATACAATATTAAATTCATCGTTTAACAATGTTAAATCTGAGATGCATGGCCCTACGTGTTATCAGTGTTTGTGCCCTTCAAAATGATCATGAAGTGCCTCAAAAAAGTAAAAATCTTTGAGTGACAGGTTTTACCATACTCGTCTTCCCCAATAGACTGTAGTGTTATAAAAACCTTTAGGAAAATGAAAAATTTGATTTGGATTTCCAATCATAAATATCTTGATAATCAGACAGGTGATTGGCTTGTAAAAGTCATGGGATTCCTGACTGACCAAAAGGGTTTATAATTATGATTGCAGCATGAGCTAAATCCAGGATTTTGTTTCAGAATCTGAGGCAATGTCACCGAGGCACTTTAAAGAGTTTCATCAGGATGGTTGTAGAACTGGTTAGTGAGAGAGAACCAAAATTGGGGTAGGAGGATCCGGGAACCTATCTGGATCAAAGCGCTCGCCCGACAACATAAACCGGGACGGAGGCGCATATCAGCTGTCTGTTAGATACGACGCAGTAATCGCAAAAACTACAACTACTGGCGATCAAAAAATTGGCACCTTACTTCAGTCTGCCAATTCACGCCTGAGGAAGATGTCTGAACGCTAGACATCAAAACTGTTACAGGTAATATTTATTTTTAGATGTGACATTTTTAAGAACTTTCTAACAAGCATTCTTTCAATAGTTGTTGTTTGCCCGCTGTATATCATTAGAGGGACTACTAGATACTTCCCTGCCAATTTCAGGAATGTAAATGCCTTTGAAATAAATTAAGACAACAGAAATCAGACTGCAATCAATAACTTTACAACTTTCTACCCAGATTTAAACTGACCTGTGAGCTCTTGTAGGCTAGCTTCTTCTCCACATCACTGCAGCTTGGTCCTATCCATAGGTAGACTTCATGTCCGGTATCCAGAATCATCACATCGTCATCAGCAAGATCATCCTAAATGAACAAACATATTATTACCCAAATGTATTCATACTGACTCTTTCTTGTATATCTTGTGTATTTAATTTACTCTTGTATATTTCATGTATTTAACTGTTTATTTCTTTGCTTGTTTGTTGAAATAAATTGTAACTGTTTTAGATGTGTGTGGACGCCTTTGAAAACCAACTAATAAGTTGAAAGGGAAATCAATTAATAATAAATAAAATAGGTCATAGTATTCACCCTCACAGTTGCATTTTATGTTAAAAAATAAATATGTATGCAGTTATATGAATATACGCAATATGACATTCATTGCTTTCGTTTTCTTTTTCTCTTATGCAATTAATTATTTGTTGTATTTTGTTATTCTGCCATATTCGTTTATGTAAAGCCAAATGGGTTGGAGAAGAAGGCCTTTGGGTTATAGAAAGTCAGGTAATCTTTTTTCTTTTCCCTCATCCAAGTGACTCACTTCAAACCTTACTGTTATTTTGTATTTTGTTTTCTTGATGGGTCTTTGCCAAATAACATAGTAATAACAGGTATTAATACAGCCACAGGCTGAGAATGCTATGCTTGGGGGGAAAAGCGTGTCATTATTTAGAATAACTTTAACCAGTTCAGAACATCATTTGACCACCAGCACATCAACCTAAAGAATTATTAACTTCAAGTCTTTCAACTTATCAAGGACTGCTAACATGGCCGGCTGTGAACAGGCGATTGCACAAAATATACAACCACCTTCCCTTCCCCCATCAAAACGAAACAAAACAAAAACAAAAACAAATGGAACAAAGCAACCTAAACAAA